CTGGATGCAGGAGTTGAATGCACCACTAGTAAGTCTGCTGATGATACCAAACTAGGAGGTGCTGTTGACTTTTGAGGGACAGGAGGCCTCGCAGAGGGATCTAGAGAGATTGGAGCATTGGGCTGTGATTAATGGGATGAAATTTAACAAGTGAAAATGCCCGATTCTGCACCTGGGACAGAGTAATGCCAGGCAGAAGCATAAATTGGGAGAGGAGTGACTGGAGAGCAGCCCTGCAGACAGGGCTCTGGGGGTGCTGGTGGGCCACAGGCTCTGCGTTAGCCAGCAGTGCCCTGGCAGCTGAGCGGGCAAACCACATCCTGGGGTGCCTCGCATCAAGCACAGAATAACCAGCCAGTCAAAAGATTATGCCACTGGATTCAGCATTGGTGCAGCGTCACCTTGAGTACTGTGTGCAGTTCTGGGCCCCACAATTTAAGAAGGATGAGAAGGTCCTTGCACATGTCCAGAGGAAGGCAACAAAGCTGGTGAAAGGGCTGGAAGGCATGTCCTATGAGGAGCGGCTGAGGACTTTGGGCTTGTCTGGTTTGGAGAGAAGGAGGCTGAGGGGCGACCTCATGGCTCTCTACAGCTTCTTGAGGAGGGGACGTGGTGAGGGAGGTGCTGAGCATTTCTCCCTGGGATCCAGTGACAGGATCTGTTGTAATGGCTCAAAGGTGTGCCAGGGAGGTTCAGACTGGATATTAGGAAGCATTTCTTTGCTGAGAGGGTGGTCAAACACTGGAGCAGGCTTCCTAGTGAAGTGGTTGATATCCCAAGCCTGTCAGTGTTTAAGAGGCGTTTGGACGATGCCCTTAATTACATGCTTTAACTTTTGATCAGCCCTGAATTGGTCAGGCGGTTGGACTAGATGATTGCTGTAGGTCCCTTCCAACTGAAATAGTCTTATTCTATTCTAACACACTGGAAATTTCAGTCATGATGTGGAAGCCTAAAAATTCTGGAAAGTGGTTATTGCATTAAACATGCAAGTAATAAAGCCACGCACTAAAATCCCAGAAAGCATGCGTCTACCCAACTCCCTCAGGATCTTGGCTGATCCCTTTTCTTCAGACCATGCTTCTTAACTGATTCCTCTTTCCTTTCCCATCCTCCTTCCTGCTGTTTTCTCATGTTAATGACCTCTCCCACCTGCCTTGCTCCCCAGAACACTTCAGCGCTTGACCATCTGTCACTGCTGCTGTGCATCCTTACTGTTATAAGAGAAAGTACCGACCTTGAGCTGGAGCGTGTGATCTGTGATAAATAGCTTACAAACTGGCAAATGAACTAATATTACAAATAACTGGCTTTATATGTTGTGTGTGAAACAGCAAGGAATGTGGAGACTGCTAGGTCTAAATGCTCAGTCTGTAAGTACAGTTCTGAGAAAAAGATGCGTCCAGTAAATCTGCAGAGGTTTGCAACATGACATGTGGATCTGTGCATGTTCACTGGGCAGCGAGATTCATACTCTGCCCTAATAATACATTTGATTTGGGAGTGGACCTCAGTTACTAGCTGCAGCTTTATATGAAGCTTTGCAAATAAAGATTTGTAAAATGGCTGTGCGAGTGCAGTGAGACTAAATGTATTTTCCACGAAAGATTATTTTTTGTTTGCTTAAGACTAAACTTAGTTGAGTCAGCAGAAAGGCTTTTTGACTTCCTTTCTCTGTGTAATTATAAGCTGAAATTCTAAATCAGCTGCTTAGTCATAGTACATTATGACAGTTATGCCGTTCATGGGCAAGCTGTTGTTATAATAAACATATTTTTTGCTTGGTTTTTTCTTAAAGTATGTTTCACTTGAAACAAATAGCTGAAGAGAAGCTTAAACTGCAAGAACCCATGGTTTTTCAAAATATCTGTCGTAGTATAGGATAAGTAAACATGACAAGTATTCAGAGTTTTCTGACAAGTTAATTTTATCCAAGTCATTTGCAATGTTTTATAAAACTCAAACCAAAGCTGAATCCAGTCTGTTACAACTACAATGCAAAATGTCGTGGTTTGCCAGGGTAAGAGGTCTATATGGTTCAGGTTAGGCCTCCAAGTGTAGGTGATCTTCAGGTGAAAACTTGTTCTCAGAGTCCATTCCCTGTAATGAAAAAGATGCATTGAACCAGTAAGCGCTGATTGTAAAGCCAGCAGGATGAAGAACAGCAGGAGATAAGGGAGCTCGGCTTCCTTGGCTTTTAAGGAAAGTTAGAGATGGGCAGCCACTGAAGAGGTCTGTTCTCTATGGGATGAAAGGTCAGTGGTCCTTGCCATGGCAAGTCTTTGTGACCTGACAAAGTTGTGATAATTCAGATTTATTAATGATATTTTTTCTTGGGGTGGGGGGGGTTATGTTTTAACAGTTTCATTCCTTGGCTCCAATGTACTACCGCGGCTCAGCAGCAGCTGTGATAGTTTATGATATCACCAAACAGGTAAGACCTTCTGTACTCTTTTCGCCTGTGTTAACTGCTGTGCTTGGGCCAGAGTTGGAGTTAAAACTCACAACTGCAGAAGTATTTATATTTAATCCCTGTTGATGTCAGTGGGGTTTATATGCTTCAGTAGTTTGTGTAGATTTGGTTGGAGGTGTCCAACTGCCGAAAAAATTAAATACAAAGTCCTGCTTCTATGTTGTTTAAAATTAATCAAGACAAGAGGTTGGAGACTGCATTTTGTCAAAGTTTCTCTGGATTTCGTCTAGCTAAGTAGACATGATAATACCCTGAATAACCCCTCCCACAACTACCACCTCCTGTGTTCTCTGTATGGAATTGAATTTTTACTACAAACAGCAGCTGGCTGCTTTATCAACTGAACAGAAATTCAGTTGTTTGCATATTACTGATTTTAAAACTAATTATTTTTAACTAAGCATATAATCTCTTGTTTGCATTGTGGAACTCATGCCTTAGCTTTGAAACCAGTAATGAAATAATAAGTCTCTGACCTTTGTCTCAACATTATTCATTTGAAATGAAATTGTGTTTTCGGATCCTAAACTGCTCTTGCTCGTTTCTCAGGCAGAGAAGGCTAGGAGGTTCCAGCTGAATGCCTCTTCCACTACTTTTGAAAGAAACCTGTGCTGATAAAGCTGAATAGAGGAGGCACTAATGGAAGGATGACCATGACAGTTTCCTAGCATTTTTTTTCCTGTCCTGCCAATTGAATTATTTGCTACGAGGTTGAGAGGGCTGGGTTGGTTCTCTAGTGCATTAGTGTAATGATCTGTGGCTGATGATGGTGGCCACTGCTGCACAGCTGTACTGTTCTCCTTTGCTAATTTTGCCAAGAAAAGATGAGGAAGAATGAATTGTGCTGGATTGATACTTATTTTTGATTTAAATGCCTTACAGTTGATCTTGTAATGCATTTTAAGAATAGAATTTTGTTTTGCCAGGCTTTCTCCAAGTTTATGTGAAACAGGTCTCAGAATAAAGAGGGGCAAATAGGAGAGGAAGGTGAATGTGTATTTCACTTTCTGATGCTTAATATTCAGTTGATCATTAGAGCAGAATGATTGTTTTTTTCCCAAATGACTGATGGTGTTCTCCCTTTGGTGATACTGATACAGCCATTGCTGATTTAGACACAACACTTATGTGCATTTCTGAAGGGGAAAAAAATGGTTTATAATATATTTGGGAGCTCATTTTGAGTCTCAGTAATAATTTCAACTGTGCATTATAATTAGAATCTCTCGGAACAAAGGTGACTTTAATGCTATCAGGTCATTAGTGTAAAGAAATAGAACATTTACCATTAAAAGGTAGGTAGCATCAAAAAGTGTTTGAATTTTTTACTTGGAAGGAAAAAGCCAAGTGAATTGTCACCCGTCTCTTTGGTTTCATAATGAGTAAATTGAGGTTTACCAGCTCACACATTCAGAAATGTGAGAGGGACAGGGTCACTACAAAAGGTCTCCTGGATGTTACCAAAAATATGACAGTGGTTGAGATAGTAATCCACTGGACAGAAGTTCAAATTAGAAAAATTAAGCTCACATTAAAGTGAAGGAAATTAGCTACTAGCCAAACTTAAAAGAGCTGTGGTAGTTTCTTCGTCACTGGAAAGTTAAGAAAACCATTCAGTGCTGCTTGGGGGGTGGGGTTGGCAGAGGGGGAAGTGTCCAAGTTCAGGAATTAATTTGAGGAAGTCTTATGACCTAAAGTTTGAAAAGCAGATGACATAGATACAGTGATCTTCTTCTGGTCTTGTGATCTATAAGATTTTTATTGCATTAATTCTGTCAAAGCTGTGTTCCTCTGACTTCAAACAATAAGCAAATACATCAACAGAGACTAGGCTCGTTGCTTATTTGTTATTTCTCTGACTTAGGATTCATTTCATACTTTGAAGAAATGGGTGAAAGAATTAAAAGAACATGGTCCTGAAAACATTGTAATGGCCATCGCTGGAAACAAATGTGATCTTTCTGATATCAGGTAATACATTCATTTTTGTTGTTGCTTTGATTGCAGTAACTATATTGTTTCCTTTCTTCAGGTAACCAGTTTGTTTCATTGTTATAATAGTATATAATTTTGGTTAGCTGTATTGAGTCTTTCCCAGTATCTGTGGTTCTACCAATGTACAGCCTTATGACAAGCAGCACAACTTGAATTATGTACTTTTTTTTTTTTAGCCTCTCTTTTACTGCGCTTCCTGTGTATTTGTGCAATCTACACCCTTTAGCTGCTGAATCACTGGAAATAGAAAAATGTTCTCTATTTTTCTCCTTCCATTCATGTTAAAAGGTGCAGAATGTATTAAGCAATGAGCAAAACTATCAATGTAAATCTAGAAGGATGGGCCTGGAGTAGAATAATGTTATTCACAGAGAAGCTTTGAGAACTTGTGCTTTGCATTTTGTAACAACTGAAACTGTCAGATAATACTGGATTTAGAGGGGTATTTGTGGTTTTTTAGTAGCATAACCTCAAGTAAAACTTGTGTCACCTGCATGAAGCAGAGAACCTCCTGGATAAAAGAGGGGAGGGTTGAATGCGCCCTCCTACAGAAGAGCTGAGATGATGCTATTTGGGATGAGTGTGACGCTAGAGTCACTTTTCTGCTTGCTAGCTCTATTTTGGGTTTGCATTTATCCTTTCTGGAAATGGAAGCATGTTCTGTTGTACAGTAGTGATCCTTTGTGTCAGTCCATGACTCTTATTTCTTGCTTCAACTATGAGTACAGGCTCAATGGCCATATTTGATGCTTTCCTCTTAGGACCTCATAGGCTTTCACGGCTGTTCAAATATATCCCCCTGTTTTATAATCATTACTTTGGCCAGGTTCACCAGAGCCCTGAAGCACATGTGTAACTTCACGTAAATGATGCAGTGCTTTATTGAATCAAGGCATCTACAAGGATTGGACCTGTGTGGCTTGGGGATTTTTTTTTTCTTTTGTTCCTCTTCCCTGTCAGCCGTCAACCAACACAAAACTGTGAGTCACTGCTTTGTGTAAGACCTGAACAAACTCTGATGCTAGAAGGCTCCTGGTTTCTGTTGGGCTAAGAATCGGGGACACAGATAGTATATTGGCATCTCCTACATGATGTTGTGATTTGTTTGTCAACATGGTGAAACTGAGTCCTATAAGACAAAACTAAAGGTTTCCAAACATGAAGTAGAAAAAAAGAGGAAAGGGTGATTATAAAAATAAAAACAAAACCCAGTTAGCACAAATCAGTTTTCAGTTGCCTGGAGAGTCACTTTAAATTTATTGCTTAAGTGTTCCCAGCAATACAATTACCTGATTAAATCAAGGGCAAAAAGTTTGGAGATTGTGACAAATGGCACCAATTCCAAATGAATCCCTAACCAGCCCTCCCACTGCTTTTGGTAGCATTTGCCATGGCAGCAAGCTTTTAAATGCTGTTCCACCAGAGGCAGGTTAACTTGGGGAGGTGAAGAAAAACCTACACCCCAGAAATGTTGTGAGAATACTGGAGTTCCACACAGAGGGACTGTGATCTTCCTACCACGTTATTCTCAAACGCTACCTTTTCTTTACTGATTGCTGATCATCTGTTTCTTGCTCCTGTTCAGCCACTGCAGCTCTTCTATGCACAGAATGTTCTAGTGTTTGCATGGTCCTCATTGACCTCCATGAGCTAATGTCTCTTGTTCTTAGGGAGGGGGCTTTTTTCTCCCCATAATTATGAATAGTTTGGAGAAATTTTTTTTCATGCAGTTACTCTTTCTGCATCTTGCAGCCTTTTTGCTTTCTAAAGTCAACCAGTGATGTCCAGCTAAGGAGATTTTGGTGGAAAAATAGAGAGCAGACTATCTCGTACGTGGCATGTTTTCATAGTTCTTCCAGGAATCTGATTGTTTATGCAATACATGCAGCTATATGTATTCTGTCTGCTTTATGTCTTCATATTTACTTCAGTAAAAATTATTTTAAGTGAAATGTGCCGCCAATTTATCAGATTGTTTCCAATGAGTAGAACATATACATGCCTTTGGGCACAGAGAATTTAAAAATAAGATGACATGAGCACACAGGAGCAAGCTGCTGTTTGTTTGCATTTTTGGCATCTCTCTTTGGTTTTGTAGACCTTTTGGCAGGTGTTTTTCTGGGTATCTGAGAGACAGCTGCTTTTAAGACCAAAGTGAATAGATGCAAAACAGGATAAGCTGACCCGGTTCAAGTTGATTTCATTCTGCCATCTCTATGACTGTAGGAGATAATGTAACTAGTAGTGAATGGAAGCAATAAGAACTGATTATCTTCCTTTGCGAAAAGACTGGCACTGTTTCTCATAATCATTGACCATGTTACCCTCCTCATTTATCATCTAAAATTTGGGTTTTGAGCTGCCAGGATGGATTTGGGACCCTTGGGGGTCATGCTGCTTTTCTCAGTGTTGTTAATAGGCTATCAGCAGTTTTTGGCACTCCGTTGAAGTAAGTATCTTCTCCACTTTGAAGGAATTTGTACAGGGAGACAGGCAAATTTGTTTAGTATAAATCTTCATCTTTGTTATAGTACTGTCAACTCTAGTACTTTTGAGTGTTTGGCATACTTTTAAGTAATAGTAACAGACTTTTCCTTCTGATATGTGTCCTGTCCTTCTGAGAGGTCATTAAAAAGTAGTTTCAAAGACAGGAGCTGAGACTTCAATGTTAAAATGTTGTTAAGTATCCAAAATATTTTTTGAGCAATATAGAAGTCAATAGTCATAACAGCAACTGAGAAGTATTTACTTATCTAAAAGTATGGTACACCTTCTTAACAAATGGAGTTCACTGGAAATTGCCAGATCCTTGTTTGAGAGAATTCAGCAGAATTTCATGCTCAGATCTCGCCTCTTTGCATACAGAATATTTCTTTATTCAGTAATTATTCAGAAAATCTCAAGGCAGATTGAATCAATAGAATGATTTGGAAAGGATAAAATGAAATAATTGACATCTGTTAGAATAGGTCTTCCTCTAACTTTCCTGTAGCCCTGGAATAACACTTTCTCAGCACTCCACTGATGGTTCTTGCCTTCTTTCCTCTTCAGCCCATCTTGTGTGTATTGATCTCTTAGTTTAGAGGTCAAACATTTGTGCTTTTCCTTTTTGACAAGGTGGCATCATAGTAATGTTGGCATCCAGATTATGATAACTCCACTTGATGTATGCAGCGTTCTTGGTGCTGGCAGCACTGGATGGCATGATGCTTATTGCCCACATGCTGTGGAGATTTGTAGGCTTCCTTTACAAATGTCATCAGAGAAGGCTAAGAAGTTTTATGACACTTCCTTGGAATATTGTCTGTTGCTGCTGTTTTACCTTTTCCTTGATTCCTGAAATTTGCTTTCTCATCTAAATTACAGCAGGTTAGAAGTCTTTGTTACATAACCGTATGCTCTCAAATTTCTTCCTTTACTGTTGTTTGAATATTATGTTACATAGTTAAGTTCCTTTTTTCTTATCTCCAGGGCCATCTGCAGATGGCGGTACCTTTCATAAAAAAAGTCCAAGGTGCTATTTCAGAAATAGTAAGGGGAATGCTGCTTTCCCTGTGTCTTCTGCAATAAAAAGACATGTAATACAAAGAAGCAAGTAATGGAAACAAGCTCTGAATCCAGATGCTGGAATTGCAGACTAATTTTTTGAAAACCATTTGTAATACATCAGGCAATTATTCTGCCTCTCTGCAGGGGATATAAATGCCATAAGAAGAAGAAGGATAGTACTACTTTTGCAGGGAAGAAGAGCATACTAATGCTTTTCAGATTAGGCTATGTTTGAGGTCTTTTTTTTCCCCAAATTGAATTATTTTTTGAAAATCTGCTTTCTTTTATTTTTAATTTCTTTTTTGTAGGGAGGTTCCTATGAAGGATGCCAAAGAATATGCAGAATCTATAGGTGCAATTGTTGTTGAAACCAGTGCAAAGAATGCTGTTAACATTGAAGAACTTTTTCAAGGAATAAGTAAGTAAATGCTCTATTTATTTATTATTGTTTGGAGGTCTTCTGAAAATAGCTGTCTGTTTCGGGTCTAAAAACTTCTTTCCCAAGGACATCAAGAAATCCACTGGGCCAGTAGTATGGCTGCTGGTTATGCAGATGTAAACTAAGAATGACTTTGGATACACGAGAGCAAAACATAGTAGATAGTAGATACGGGGTAAGCCTATTCTTTCTAAATCTGTATATAAATCCTGACCTGGGTCACATCTTCTGTTTCAGAACAAGCCTGCTGTCGAGGTGATGCAGTTGAACTTGTCATCATGTTGATAAAAACATAGCCTGAAGGGCTATGATAAGTAGAAACAGTCATTGCAGTAGAATCCGTTTAAAAATATAAATATTTTCTCTCCAGGCCTTTTAAACAAGATGAGACTGACATTCCTCATGAGGAGATGAAAAAACGTCTTTCTCAGTTTGCCTTCTAGGGGTTCCAGTTGTTTTGGTCTCTGGCTGCAAATGGGAAGGACCTTGTGTGCTGAAGGGACTTCAGGAGACCTTCAGTCCAACTTCCTGCTCAAAGCAGACTTGATAGTGAATTCAGACCGGGTTGCTAGGGCTATTGTCTGGCTGGGCCTGAGAGCAGAGGTCCACAACCTCTCTGGGCAGCCAACCAGTGTTTAAATAATCCTCATAGTGGCTTCCCCCCGGTGTATCAAGTGAGAACCTCTCCTAATTCAGTTCACGGCCACTGTTGCTCATTGTCCTGGATGCACCTCAGTAAAGAGCCTGGCTCTGTCTTCTCAGCAGTCTTCCCTATAGGTACTGACAGGTGGCTTTGCAGTCCCCTCCAGTCATCTCATCTCCAGGCTGGACAGGTCACATTTCATAGAATCATAGAGTCATAGAATGGTTTCCGTTGGAAGGAACCTTAAAGATCATTTCCTCAGCCTCCCCTCCCAGGCCATGTGCTTCAGCCCCCTGACTGTCTTGTTGGCCCTCCTCTGAACTTGTGCCAGTTTATCAACATTTTTCTTGTATCATGGGGCCCAAAACTGGATATATTACCCAGCTTCTGTTAGACTCTTATCTAGAAGGGGATAACCACTTCACCGGATCTACTGGCTTGGTGCTCGTTGGTATGACTGTTGGCTGTCTTTGCTGCCAGGGGATGCTGCTGGCTCCCACTCAGCTTGCTGCCCTCGGGTCCTTTTTTGCAGAGCTGCTTCCCAGGCAGCCAGCATCCAGCCTGTCTCATAGCCAGGGGCTCTTCCTTCCCACAAGCAGGGCTTGGCATTTGTCCTTTCTGAACAACATAAGGCTCCTGTTGGCCAAATCCTCCCTCCAGCCTAAGACCATCTGAACAGCAGCCCTGCCCTCAAGGGTCTTGAGTGCACCTCTGAGTTGGGTATCATCTGAGGCTTAAAGTGGGTGTGTATTGTTTCTTGCTTCAGGCCACTGATAAAAGGTATTAAGCAAGGTACTCCACTTGTAACTGGCATACAGCTAGATATATACTGTTAACCACTGGCCTTTAAGTCTGAGGATCCAGGCAATTTTTCACACAGCTAACAGCCTGCCTGTCTGGACTATAACATCCCAACTTGGATGTATTTGAAGCCTTACTAAAGTCAAGGTAGACAGCATCCAGTGCTCTCCCTTAATCACAGATCCAGTCATACTATAATTTAAGGCAACCAGGTTGGGTGGAACCCTTGGGTTTACCCTTGGTATGTCCATGCAGGCTGGTCCCGGTCACATTCTTCACCTTCCTGTGCTCAGAGGCAGCTTCTCAGAGGATTTGTTCTGTGGTTTTCCCAGGAAGCAGAATGAGGCTAACCAGCCTGTAGATCCATGGCTTGTTATTGCCCTTTTTGAAGACAAATAGAACACTCACCTTTCTTCAGTCATAGGGGACCTCCCTCATTCTCTACAACCTTTCAAAAATGATAGGGATGATAAAGAATGACGTTGCAGTGACATTGGCTTGCTCCCTCTGCATCCTCAGGCTTGTATGAGTTGAGAATTCTTATGAGCTCCATGACTTGATCTTCTTCTGCTACTCGTGGTTCCTCATCTCCCTGAATCCTGTTTTGGGGTGCAGAGGCTTAGGAGGCAGCATATCCAGAAACTCAACTTTGTTTCTCTAAAGCCTTTTAAAAATTTTATTTTATTTAATTTCACATATTCATAATCAGCTCATATTATCTATCACATTTTGTCTGAGATGGGGTGGGATGTACTTGAAATGATTAATGTAGGGATATTGCATGGGATGTATTTGAAATGATTAATGAGAACTGGTATTCCTAGAATATGCTACCTCTCTTTTACCTCCTTTAAAAAAGGAGTGTGTAACATGGCTGTCTGGAGGAACCAGTTCTTCCTTTTGATAGTTTACTTGATTGTCTGCGTCTGATGGTTGTGAATGTTCTCGCGGAGGAACTCATCCTTGCTACATAATTAGGTAATTAGTTTGCGTCTTTGATAGGCAATGCTGCAGCTGGCAGCATACACTGTCTCTAATAATGGATATAATAGATGAGGAGAATCAGCTAAATTAAGTTTAGTATGAACTAGATACCCAGGCAAGTGCACTTAATTCCACAGGCAATTATTTCTAAATATAGAAATATTTGGTCTCAGTGGATGTACTCGTGACCTTATCAAGTACTCAGCAGAGAGAGAGAGAGTTGGTGTAGTGTATGTTTATAGAAATATAGTGGAAACCAAGTGAAAAATGCTTAATTAGCAGGAGAATTAATCAGTATGATTACGACCAGGCAGAGGGTATGGATAACATTCTGATATTTTACATCACTTCAGTCTTTGTGCGGTCTAGAAGTCTGTCTATGCACAAGCTGCACGGCAGCATTTCTGCCTTTTCAGTGTATGAAGTCCCTCTGTGGCCATGTCGCCTACCCTGTTGACTAATTTTATTTGCATGTTGCCCTAGAAGTCATGCTGCAGCTTTAACTTTGCTTTCATGCTGCCTGAGAGTTCATGCCCTCCTTCTCTTTGTGCTGCTGTAGAAGGACATGGTGCAGCTCCCCGGCCTCTGAACAGGGAGACAGCAACTTCTGTTTGCCTTGGATCTTGTAGGTACGCCGTATGTGTTGCCTGTTTTGCAGCCTGGATTTGGAAGGATATTCCAACATGCGTGGAGAATTTATCTGTTAAAAACCTTCTTGAAATTGATACCTCAGACAGAAAAGGGTAGACTACATTTTAATTTAGCCAGAAGATTCACCTCCTGCTTGCTTATGCTTTTCATTTCCCAGGAGTATTTTAACGTAATTGCTTTTCCTTCCTTCCTAAGGTGTCTAACAACTGTCTCTTTTCCAGGGAAAATGTTGTGAACGGAGTGAAATGGTATAATTGGAAAAAATTACTCAACATAATGATATAAAAAAGGCAGAAAATAAAAGGGGAACTGGGATGTTTTGCTGATGACTAAATAAATCTTCAAAAAATTATAGAAATTATAGACAGATCGCTTAATTTCTAAGATTATTATATTACACTATTTTTAATTTTTTTTTTTTAAATAAGTTTCTGTCAGGATTTGAGGATTTGACTGCTTTGAGGGATGTCTTAATAACACAGTCTCAACACAGATCCATTGTCCTTAATTCTTCTCAGGAAAATACAAGATGTGAAAGGCTAGAATCAGTAAAAGTTTCTGATTTTTTGAAGGTGGGGCAAATCTGGCAGGAGAGGTACTCTGCAATCGGCAAGTAAGACTGAGGAGGCAGACTGAGCCCAAGAGTCAACAAAGTCAGTGTTCTCCACGCTGGGGAGTTTTCACTGAGCTGCGTAATGCAATGCAGCTCCTGGCTGGCTCGTGTATCCCTGTGATTTCAGATGACAAACCACTACACTTAACCCTGGTTACATTTAGCAGCACCTGACTGAAGGTTTGCTATGATTGTGAAACATCACGTGGCTCTTTTATTTCTCAGTAAAAAAAGCAAAGAATATTTTTAGTACAGTTGTATATTCCTCACTTGGGCTAGATTTTTCCCAATGTCTTTCAAGAAAGGCTTCTGACATAAAAAGGGCTTAAGATTATAGTGTTTTTTCATGTGTTCCGGTAGTTCTTTTTTAATAGCTGAGTGTCTATAGAATCCAATGTTATTAATTTTTTATTCCCAGCCTTAGAAGAATCAGAGGCACAGCGGCTCCTTTTCTCTGGTTTATACTTTAGCAGCAGCAAAAATGCCAGGAATGTATTATACGATAGCAGTACAATACAGTATAAAGTTGTGCCTGTGCAGGTGGTCATACCAGTTCTGCCCCTTCTTGCTTGTGGGGCTTTAGTCCACTGACCTCTGCTTGTGCCTGGGAAGACAGCTTGCCCATTAAAACCAGCTGGTTTCCAATGACTAAACAAGCTGCCCCAAGCGTACGTCATTTAGTATCAATCACACCCTTGTGATTTTCAGACACCGTTCATTTAGCAACTCAAATAAGCCTTAGTTACCTTACTCAAATCTAGAACACACCCAGCTGTTTCTCTGCATCCTGTGTGTGTTGCCTGTTACCTAAGCCTGAAAGGTGCCCCAGATAGGAAAGAGAAGATTACGTGAAAGCTGTCCTCTGTAACTGATAGAGCCAAGACTGTACCTCCCAGGTTAATACCAGTCTGCATCAGTAGGTCGAAAGGTAAACAGGCAGTGGGATGAGTAAGCTGCTGAAGAATACCTAGCCAAATGAAATACGAAATATATTTGTGCTTAAACAAAAAAATAAGTTATGGCCATGCATTATTTTTTGAAGTCTGGCAAATGTTGAGGACTGGTGTGCTACCAAAGGGGCAAAATTGAAACATTTCAGCATCTTCTGTCAAGGATGAGAGGGAAGTGAGGAATAAAATCATCAGAATCACTCAATGGAAAGTGTGTAAAGCATTGTTAGCACACTCAGTCTTACTGATACTGGTACTACAAGAAGGAGAGACAGGCTTATGTTTAAAAAATGCAGGTAAGGATGTTCTTCCTAGATGAGGCTTCCAATTAGTAGAG